CTGGACTGAGTCTACCAGGTTGATCTCAGTCCTCGGGGGAGGCTTTGCCCTGAAGGAGGTGGGAATGGGGGGTGAGCTGGGGGTAAGGGGAGGGGGGGAGCGGGGAGAACAGGGGAACCCATGGCTGATATGTAGAACTGAATGGTATTGTAAAATAAAATAAAAGGAAAAAAATTAAAAAGAACCATAAAAACAAAAAAAAAAAAAAAAAGAAAAAGAAAAAAGAAAAGAAAAATGAATGCTTAGAAATCAGGCAGGCATGGGTAGCATTTTTAAATCTCACCACAGACCAGCTGTAAGTCTTGGGCTAGCTAGCAATGACTGGTTTCTAAATCTGAAAATAGGGAAAGTTATGGGATTGAGGGGGGTGGGGCGTGTGGATTGTGGTGAGAATTACATAAGATAAAGTTCATAAATTGCAAGGCTGGATGAACACTCAGTTAATGAAATCAATGTGTGTATCATTGTCGTTCCCACAGCAGCTCCGGGGAAGCCAAATAGAATCCACAGCTCCTTTAGAACTAGTGGTGGCTAGTGGCTAGTGCAGAAACATTTGGAGCGTATGTATGGAATTTAAGGTGTTTAAATTTTAAGGTGTTTTTTTTTTTTCTTAAGTTCTTAAGAAAGTAGTCAATGAAGTTAGTTGCCGAGAGGACAGTAAAAACCCTGTCAACCTCAAGGTAGGCGCCGCATAGCTAGTTGTAATTTCTGGGTGATTATCAGTGTGAGAGTTCTCCCAGCACTTTTACTGTCTCGACATCAACTGCTGGCTCCTCCACGGAGGTCGAAGTTAGCAATTTTTGAAGAAAGGCTTGCAGTATTATAAGTGTTTCAGGCTTGGGGATTATCTACACTAATCTGAGATTTTATTTGTTTTGGGCTTTGTTTTGCAGTACTGGGGATCGAACCCAGGGCCTCCCAAATGATAAGCAAAGCATACTATCCCAGTACCACTCCACCAGCCCTGGTCTATTTTCTGTTACTCATCAAAATGTCCCTACTTTATTATATTCTTATCATTTGCTTGCTATTTCCCTCTATGTTGATTTTTTTTTAAAACATAAACTATCCAATTTACAGTAATATTCAGAAACATCACAGGTTTAATAGGCTTGTAAAGTAAACACACTTTCTGTTATGAGCCTAGCCTTTAACGGCTGAGCTCTCAAGCTGGAAAAATAAATTCTGAAATGGAGCTGAGGATGTGGCCTAGTGGGCATTTGTGAAGCCTGGGTTTGATTCCCAGCACCACATAGACCAGGTTGGTAGCACATGCCTGGAGCCCCAGCACTCGGGAGGATCCAAACTTCAAAGTCATCCTTATTACAGAGCAACTTTGACTCCAGCCTCAGCTAGGTGAGATCCTGTTTTTAGGAAAAGAAAAAAAAAATCCGTCAATCAATAATTAAATAAATAAATAACTTCAAGCGAGTGTCCATGTGCCACCTAAAATCACCTTGTGTACTGCCAGTGACATGGGTAGGGGACCCACATGGATATACACTGGCCACATAAGCCTCTCACTTTGTAGGTGGGCATCACTGAGTACTAGGTAAGTGGTCCTACTGCAATCCCATTGAAAGTCTGCTGTATTAAATAATGTTGTAATTAAATTACAATCCCCCATGTATACAGGCGGGATGTGTGGCTTAGCGTGCACAAGGGCCCGGGTTCATTGCCAGCACAGTACGCAAACAAAACCTCTAGGTTTTTGAGTTGTAACAACTTTCCATTTTCCAGTTTTTCTTATACTCCCCAAGACTCAAAAGGACACACCACGCCCCAAGGATTGGCCTTTGTGACAAAGTGAACATGACCTGCTTGTTACATATATTCTTCTGAAAACACATGGAGATAGGTCAGAGGACAAAGAGCTAGTCCTGCTCATTTGTTTCCCTCCTAAAACAATTTTAATAACCGAGTGACCACATCCCAGAGTGGAAACACATTTACCTTTCTGTTTGTCCTGTTTCTTGCGCTTGCCAGGCTGACCCGATTAAGGTCAGCAGCATTGGCCTCTTCCTGACCCCGAAAGCCTTGTGCATTGAAACCAGAGTGTTGGTTCCTGTCTGCACCATTGTACCTTGTTAGAGAAGGTATTTCTATTCTCCAGAGAGGGAACAATAAGCTACTGTACGTTTGGTCTCTCGAGTTCACGTCTTCATGTTTTCATTAGTTTTATTCATAAGATTCTATTAGAGTCGATTGTTGAACAGCTGGAAACGTCCCCAACAAAGGACAAAAAGGTTCTTCAATAAAACAAGAACAGCCCATCCCCTGCCCAGACTTGAAGGACCATAAATTAGTGTAATAAACTGCAGAGTATAAGTAAGTAGCTTTTCTTCCTACTCTTTTAGAGACCTGGAGCTTGCGAGTCTGAAACTAGGTCAGCAACCTAGTAAAAAAAAAAAATAATCTTACTACACATGAGTTGGGGTTTGCTGCTCTGAGGAATTACAGCCCTGTCTAGTTAAATTTTAACCCTGTCGGCTCATTTTGCTGGATTTGGGTATCATGCCTAACTTAGAATAATGGAAATTTTTGTGAAAGTTGTTCATCAGAGCCTCTCTTAAAATATTCCTCTTTAAAAAAAAAAATCCTCCCACCACTTCCAGAGTTCATGGTAAGAAGAACATTTGTTTCCAGTCTGTCCTGGAGATTTCTCCTAATAGAGTTTCATCATGGCAACCCTAGAACCTCTTCCTCTAGATCATGAACTCAAGGAGGCCTCCGAATGTAAGTCTACTTTGCTTCGTTACTACTGAGAGCACATAAGGCGAAAAGGACAACATTTCAGAAGCTGCATGGCCGTGTAATTTGAAGCCAAGAACACAAAAGCAACCCCAGCGCTTACACTTTATTAAGAATTAAGTTCCCAGAGGGAGCGAGTCACCAACAAAGAGGGAAGTACGTCCAGTTCCCTGTCACAGGAGAAACTTGGCCCATACATTGGAACAAGCCTGAGTCTTTTTTTTTCCTGTGAATTGTACAGTTTTAAATAAAGCAACATGGAGCTAATCATTATAGAGAGAAGAAGAAAAAAGTCTTTTGGAAAAAAATCTGAATGTATTGAAAACACATGCCAACGCTTCCCTGGATTTTGCAAAGGGATCAAACTGTAGTCTGTATAAGCTTTGCATTGTTTTCTTAATCCTAGTTTCTAAGTCTGAAAACAGCTAGGTTCAGGAGGTAGGAACAGGAATTTTGCGAACACATTTGTTTTCCAGTACAGTGGGTAGTCCTCTTATTTTGAATTAAGTGTCTCCTGGCAGGCAGCTGGTCCTCATCCACCTGCCCCCACCCACCCCTTCATGATGTCTGCCCACAACTATTCCCTTAACACGGCTAGCGGCTTTGGCTCATCTTCGGGTTCTTTAAACAAGTGGCCAGCCATCTCTCGAAGGCACTGGATGAGTATTTCCAGAACAGAAATAAGTCCCTCTATTACCAGAGAATACCCCATTTGTTCGATAAACACCAGGACAATTCCCTGTCTATTCACGTCTAGCACTCAGAAACGGAAAACTCAGAAACCAATGGCCACTCCTTTTGTGAACCTCAAATTAAGTCTGAAACAATGGAAGACAGAAGGAGATTTCTTCCCTCCTTTAGATGTGTGGAGGAACTTTTTTAGGGTCTGTGGAACTCTCCAGGGAGCTTCCCCCCTGCCTGGGCCTCAGCCCCAGACCCTGGCACCTGCAGAGTTCTTACTTGCTGTGGAGGAGAGCACACCTACCAGGCTAATGCCTCCCTCCATACTTACATTTAAAACAGACAGAAAGAGGAGACTTCTGACTGGGAAGCAGGAGCCTTGTTCTGACTGGGCCTCTCACAATTACACAATTTTAAATAAAGCAATATGGGACATTACAATAGAGTGCAGACAGGACAGTTTTCTGGCAACATAATGCATTAGAAACACATGTCGCTGCTTCCCTCTGTGAACAGGACCAAGCTCTGTGCTGTCCTCTGGTCTCCTAGGCTGTTTCTCAGGTCCCCCTTGGGTCCGTTGACGCACTGGACTCCCACATCTGCTTTGTCAGGAGTCTGAGTCCTCTAGCTAGGCTGCCTGCTCAGAAGCCATGCTTTGACTCGTCTTCTAGGTTTGTTGAATATCTCCGAGTTTCCTATCTTGGGACTCTCACGTTCTCTCCTTCACGTGACCCCGCTCACATGCCTCTACCTGTAGCAACCTGGATGACCTTGATCTGGATGTCATTGTCCTTGAGTCTTCCTGCTTTCCTTCCAGTACCTGAAATCTTGTCCCAGACTTCTGTCCAACTTTTGCACTCATGAATTAAAAAATCCAAAGGTGGGTATGCATTCTGAACCTGGACCAGGCATGTCGTGGATATCTCTGATCTCAGAACTCAGGAGGTTGGGGCAGAAGGGCACCAAGTTCAAGGCCAGCCAGGGCCAGGGCAAGATTCTGTCTCAAAAACGAGCAAAACATTCTAGATCTGATTAAAGAAAAAAGAACAATGTAATATTGTGAAAAATGTAAAGTGTTTAGATGATCAATATTATTGATGGTAATAACTTACTTGAAGGAGTTGAGAATTCATGGGGATGGCTATTCTTTTTTCATATTCAAGAGGGAATTCTTCATATCTTTGCTGTGAAGGGATAACTTGAGAGAATATGGCAGAGGCCAGGAAACATTTAGAAATGTTGGAAAAGGGGGGTAATAATGATAAACAGACATAGAGTATTTATTTATAAGAACAAATTAATTTGTAACTTCATAACTCCCTCTAAGAACGCGGTGCTGGAGCTGGAGAGATGGCTCAGTGGTTAAGAGCATCTGCTGCTCTTCCAGAGGACCTGGGTTGGATTCCCAGGGCCCACACAGAGGCTCACAACCATCTGTAACTCTAGTTCCAGGGTACCTCGACAGCCTTTCCCACTCTCCGTGGGTAACAGGCACACACATGGCGCACTTACACACAAGCAGGCAAATACTCACACACATAAAATAAAATTAGTAAATAAGTCTGTTTAAGAATATTCAAAAGGAATGTGGTCCTGGGGCTGGGGAGGTGGCTCAGTGGTCCAGCGCACTTGCTTTTGCAGAGGACCCAAGTTCAGTTCCTATCACCCATGTCAGGGGGCTCACAACCACCTGTAACTCCAACACTGCGGGATCCAGCATCCTCTTCTGGTCTCCTAAGACATCCACAAATACATTCTCACACACACACACACACACACACACACACACACACACACACACACACACATATAACACAACATACCTTTTAGAATGTAGTACTTAAACACTTTATCCCTAGCAACAACACCACCCAGCCCCTCCAAAAAAAAAAAACAAAAACAAAAAAAAACAAAAAAACAAAAACAAAAAAAAACAACCCTTCTCTTTAGAAAAAACAAAAACAAAACTATGGTATTACTTCATGAACATTGGTTTGGATTGTTCTCTCATTTCCTCTGTTTAGTAAGTGCTACTGGTGTATGTGAAGAGAGTATATTGCTCCTAGTACTTACTGAGTTTAGAAGAAGCAGCGACTTAAAGCACATCAGGGAGCCAAGAGTCTCCTAAGAGCTGCCCGACCAGTCTTTCCAAACACCCTTCCTTCCGGCATGTCCTCAGCACGGCCCAGCTCACAGGGTCAGGAAACTATTCCAACTCCAGCACCCAGTGAGTCCCGCTAGAAGAACGTGCTTAGGACAAAGGAAACAGCAACATCTGCACACTTGCCTAGAGCAGCATTGTTCAAAAGGTGACAGCTTTTAAGATCAGCTCATAACCCAGCTCCTCTTCTCCAGGGCTCCTCTCTCTGGGCAGCCACAGGGTAAATCTCTGGAGGCCATGTTTGCCCTGTATAATCAAATCTCCCTACCCACAGCTTCAACAGGGATGGATCTACCACCAGCTTGGTGTAGAAAGGAGGCCGAGGATGGTTACTCTATTGATGGTCAAGGTGGCACATATTCTGTTCTGGGGGGCATCTCCATCCCCCACAGGGAGAGGTGTTCCTGGTAAGAGAAAAAGGAGTGAGGCCGGCTCACCAAAAGAAACGGAAGAGGTGCAGGAAGAGCGCAAGAGTCCTCTGGCTCTTTCCGGACTCCCAGCTGCCCTTCTACTGAGTGATTCTACGATATCACTTCCACCTTTATAAGAAAGCATCCTATCAACTTAAAGCTTATGGAATCACTTTCTCCCCACTCCCCACATTTGTTCTTTTCAACACAGGGTTTCTCTGTGTAGCTCTGGCTGTCCTAGAACTCACTCTGTAGATCAGGCTGGTCTCGAACTCACAGAGATCCACCTGCCTCTGCCTCCTGAGTGCTGGGATTAAAGGTGTGCACCACCACTACCCAGCCGAATCACTTTTTCTTGTTCATAACTGAGTCTTAACAAGACACAAGAATTAAAAACTAAAAGCAGCTCAAATATTCCCCAATAATGAAAGAATTAAATAAATTATTGCATGTTAGCATGGTTGATTTTTTTCCAAAGGATTTATTTTATTTCAGGTTATATGTTTGTGCATCAGTGTGTGCATATGAGTGCAGGTGCCTGTGGGGGCCAGAGGTATCAGAGCCCCCGGAGCTAGAGTTTTAGGAGCTGCCTGGCACAGGTTTTGGGAATTGAACTTGTTTCTTCTGCAAATGCAATAAGTTTTCTTTTAAAAATGCTTTTTTATTATTTTTAATTATGTCTATTTATTTATATCTATGTAAGGGTGTGTGTCTGTGCAAGTACCCATAGAGGCCAGAGATTCCTGGTGCTGTAGTTACAGGCATTTGTGAGCCACCTGCCAGCAAGTGCTCTTAACCACTGAGCCATCTCTCTAGTGACCAATAGTAAGTGTTCTTAACCACTGAACCATCTCTTTAGCCCTTAGCTGAAAAATTTTAAATCAGTGTTTCAAATTGCTCACATGGAAAAATGCAGACTCTGAAATTATATGTACATGTTACATGCAACTATTAAAATGTAGATCGAGTCAACAAGGGCTGGAAGAATCCATAAGGCAAACAGTTACTAAATGTGTTCTCTGTACCATTGAACTATACCCTCAGATCCCAACAATATCTTTCAAATAAAATTTGGGCCACCAGGATTTTGAGATATGGCTCTAGCACATCTTTCCCAGAATATTGATTATTCTGATTATGATCTACCCTATTATTCTCCCCTGAAAACACAGATGTCCTTGAATCCTTGTCTTTTTTTTGTCCATTTTTTTTGTGTGTATGTGCATGTATAAATGCATGTTTTTTTTTCCTTGTGTGTGGGCTCATATGTAGGTGCACATGGATGTGTGTGTACCTATGTTTGGAAGCCTGAGATTGGTGGAAGAGGAATCCTCTTCAATCATGCTTCTCCCTTCTTGCAGCAAGTTCTCTCAGTCAAAGCTAGACCCTGCAGATACGGCTAGTCTCACTAGGCAACTTGCTCTCAGGATCCTTTGTCTTTGTCTCCTGGAGAGAGTTACAGGCTGACTGCCATGGCTGCCTGGCATTTGCATGGGTTTCTGGGGATCCGAACTCTGTTCCCTGCACTCGTGTGGCGAACGCTTTAACTGCTGAGCCACCTCCCCAGCCCTGCCTTCTTGCCTTTCAGTCCCCACATGTGAGCAGCAAATTCAACACCTGTGACAGGAAAATCTGCTGCTGATCTGCCTCTTCATGCCATGCCCTCTGTCAACAGTATGGTGCAGGAGACACCATCTCACCTGGATTGCCACATGTCCCTAGCCGGTTCCTCCAGGTCCACTTAGGTCCCTTGTGTGACTACCTTCACAGAAAATCAAGGGTAGTTGTCAACTGATAGCCAGACTTATGACTACTGATTTCTGTTATCCAAAAGAAGGGGACCAGGGCTCTTTGGAGAATTGAGTGACTATAGTTGTGGGCAAGAACTGTAGAAGATCGGAGGAGGCAGGAATTGTACAAGACTAGCTCAGAACATCTTTTCACACCAGATACCAGTGAAGCCACTCCAGTCCACTGAGGTCATGTCAGAGACTCAGGAGGCAACCTAACGAGGTCCTGTTGGCACAAGACAGCGCAACTTAAGTATTGATCTTCAAATAAGTTACTGCAAGAGACTGGAACTGATAAAGTGCTTGCATCATATACTACGGGATGATGAGAAAGCTCAGTGGGTAAAGGTGCTTCTGCCCACGCCTGATGACCCAAATGCAGTTTCCAGATCCCATGGACAGGCAGAAGGAGAGAACTGACGCCATAATGTTACATGTTTATCCCCACATGCTTACCATGGCATGTGCACCCACATAGACACACAATAACAATAATTAATAATAATAATAATGTGGACCCATGTACATACATAGTAGCAACAACAATAATAATTAATGAGCACAAAAAACTGAATTAAATAACTGTATGGAAAAATAACCCCCAAATCATTTAGGAACTTGATTAGGGATTATAGCAAAACAAAGCTCACACAAAAGGTCAATTACTTCCTTATATATCTGCAATAAGTTTGAAATTTCAAACACAATGACATTTATATTAGTGCCAATATAGAAAACAAAAAATAACAAAACTCTGCAAAACAAAATAAAAAAAAAATCCTTTGGTTATAAACCTGACAGATATGTCCAAGATGTATATGAGAAAACCTACAAAAGTCTGATGAAAGAAACCAAAGACGTAAGCTAGGCACAGTAGTTCACTCCCACAGTCCCGGAGAACAGGTGCTGGAATGGAAGAATCCCTTCCTGCAGGGCTGTGACATTCCTCAGGGCCGCAGAGCAGAGCCTGTCTCAGATTAGAAGGCTGCACTATTTGTCTGTTGCTGTGATAAAGAAATGTGACCAAAAATGACTTCTAGAAGAAAGCGTTTATTGGGGCTTAGGGTTCTACACTGAGCAGGGCCCATCCTGGCAGGGAGGCATAAGTCAAGCAGCTGGCTGCCAGAGCGGGACAGGACGCTGAAAGACTACATCCTCAACCACAAGTGGAGAGGTTGAACCGGAAGTGGTCTGGTGTTTGTAACCTCTCAAAGCCCGCCCCTAGCGATGCACTTCCTCCAGCAAGGCTGCAACTCCCCAGCAGGGAGCGCCTGTTCAAATGCCTGTGGGGGATATTTATCATCCAAACCACAACAAAAACAAAGGACAAAAAGATACAATTAAACAGGAAGCTAGTCCCCAAAGATCCTCTTGTTTCTACTTCCCATAGGGTTCGGGTAATAGGAGAGGGAGGCCATCTCTGGCTTTTTATGTGGATGCTAGGAATTCGAACTCTGATCCTTACACTTGTACAGCAAATGCTCTTATCCTCTGAGCCATCTCCCCAATCCAGTCTTGTGCACATTAAACAATGCTCTACCACGAAACTAGGGCCCCAGCTCTTATGATTTTAGTTTTAACATGTATCTTACACTTTCTAGAATCCATTCCCAGGTTATCATGTTCCATAGAGATGTTTGTCACCTCGATCTGCTGTCTGCTGCCACCAGGTTTTAATTAATAATTAAATGAATTAAAGGTTTAATTAAAGGGTTTTGTTTTATAGTGTGTTTCTGTACCTGATTCACCAGACTCCCCCCCTTGTCTTTAGATTGGTATTTTCATCTGCTTAGTTTTCAGAGGACAGTCAGGATAATGTCCAAACTAAAGGAAAAGTCCCTTTGAAATGTCGAGTGATTGGAAGTGCGTATACTCTATGGGAGGAAACTTCTGGAAAATATCCAAACATTAGGGCCAGAGTTTCCTGCCACTGGGTCACTCAGCCTGTGGTGGTAGGTTCTTCCCTCTCCAGATCACTGTCTCTTGCGAAGAATGATGTTGACCTGCCCAGTACAGAGACTTCCAAAATTCATATTTTATAAGACATTTGTGTTGTGGCTGATATTAAACTTGAAGGTAGAATTTATATATTTTTAATACTTTCTTTGCAACATAAATGTACACATTTCAGAATAAGTGGTGGGAAATCGTATCTACCTTTTTACCAACTAACAAAAGTGTTTCTCAATGTTTTAATGTGGAAATCTCTTTTGTTTATGAAGTTTATTCATTTGGTTGGGTAGCTATCTGGTTGGGTAGCTATCTCTCTAATTCACTTAACCATTTACAATTTCATTGTATATTAATAAATGTATGTTGTATATTTATTATACAGCATATGTACACAGTATTATGTATTTATGACAAAACAGGATCTAAATTCTCCACCTATTGATCTTGTCCTTGAATGCTGAACCCTGTAGTTGTGGCATACACAACCAACATTTGGATGCTGGGACTGAAAGCAATCCATATAGTTACAGTCATCCAAGGCCACATCTAATATTGAATTATAGCCTGAAAATACCGAGGCACCTCCCTGGGTACCTCTTGGGCAACCTGTATTTTTCCTGGGAAGGAAGGAATACAGATGATAATGAGGTGTTACAAATTACCTTTGCGTCTCCTGATCTCATTTTATCTTTCTTATATCTGTTTTCTATGAAGGATGGGAATGATTACAACCCACATTTTCATACTGTATTAGAGATGAGAAAAAATGATGAATATGTGACTTTCCTGGATGATAAGTAGTAGAACTAAGCCTTTGGCCCTAAAGCAGTACTTCACATTATGAGGCTTTACCCAGGGCAGGGAAGACGATGGTTCAATCTGTAAAGTGCTTACCTTGTAAGTATAAGGCCCCGAGTTCAATACCCTAAGCCCACGTTAACAAGCCTGTTGTAGTGGTGAATGTTTGTAAAAACAGAGCTGGAGAGGGAAGACAAGCAGGTCTGCGGCTCTCAATAGCCAGCCAGGTTAGCCTGCTTGGCGAGCTCCTGGCCAGGGAGAGACTCTGTCTAAGGAGGAAATCTCTGAGGAATATGTCTCTGTCTCTGTCTCTGTCTCTGTGTGTGTGTGTGTGTGTGTGTTAGAGTGCATACTTAACATGCATAGGAACTCTGGGTTCCATCCCTAGCATCTGAGGGAGAGAGAGAGAGAGAGAGAGAGAGAGAGAGAGAGAGAGAGAGAGAGAGAACAAAAGGAGACCTTTTTCTTTTGTTGTTTTTTCCACTCTGAATTTTTTTTCATGTCGCCACATTTCAATCCATTCTGACTGCTGACAGCAATAAAATCTATAACTGCACTTAAGTTTTCAAAAGGAAATTTCTGAATCACCAGCAATGCTGATGAGAATTAAAAAAGCATGGTATCTTCCCTGTCGTTGGATGTATTCTCCCTTCAAGATAGGCATGCCGCGTAAGGATTATGTGTGTTAGATTCCTGACGCTGTCTAAGAGACACCTACTACCTGCTCCTAAGCTGTAACCACTTCTAGGGCATTTAACAACATTTTATATTTTATATATTTTTTTTTCCATTTCTGTTCACTCTTAAGATGGGACTAAGGCAATGGATCACTGTTGTAGTTGGTGGCAGTTTTAACTTCACGGCGAATATGAGGCATAATTTATGCTAATTTACAGGGCAAGGATTTCTCCTCTAACATAGGGAGTACTTAAGCCATTTGCATCTGCTTGTATTTATCTTCTGGCAAGACTAGATAATGCTAAAAATAGAATATATTATGAAACAAAACAATCTAATTGTACGTGTGCAGTTGAAAATACAATGTTATACCAGGCTCTGTGTTTTTCTTCCTTTAAACACTGAGGTTTCAGGTACTATTACATATATTTACAGTCTTGAGAACCAAACCAGTTTTAACCAGATTAGAAAATAGACTACATACAATGATAACACGATGCCGGAAAGAAATGAACTGAATAATTAGATCTCTGGTTAATACAGCAACACCAAAGTAATACTGAGACCCTCTGCTCATCAGTGAATACTTTCATGGATTTTATTTTAAAGTCTTATGTCCACAAAGGAGGACTGTCAAAATGGTTATTAAATCAGAGAATGTGAACATCCACAAACAGATGATTCTGTTCATCTTAGCTGCAAGAAAGAAATCTATAATTGAATGATAAGGAAAATCTGGAAAGGGGTTACATATGCTATATTAAATTTTATATCTAGAATGTGCATATGCATATGACAAAAAATTCTACATGAGGCTGAGAAATGAGCATCATGAGATGGATTATTTAAGATGACTATTATGGATTTGTAAAAAGGAACGTTTTAAAATGAGAAATATCTATACCTCTTTCCCTCTTTGTGGTCTGGAAGTCTTTGTCTCAACCACAGTCCTCATCCTCGTTAGCCCCCAGCCTGTTGTGCATGTTTGCCTTGTCAGTTTTCTCTCTTCAGATGTTTTAATCACAGCTGCTATTTTCGTTGCATCTTTCAATGAAAGAAGTGAAACACGGAGAAGATTGAGGCCACAGAGTTGGTACCCAGAGCTTGTCTGGGACAGGTGCTGAGCGCACACTGGGTGAGTGAGTGGACAGTGCTGAGCGCACACTGGGGGAGTGAGTGGACAGTGCTGAGCGCACACTGGGGGAGTGGACGGTCTGAGTGCACACTGGGGGAGTGGACGGCGCTGAGTGCACACTGGGTGAATGGACGGTGCTGAGCGCACTGGGTGAGTGGACGGTGCTGAGCGCTCACTGGGTGAGTGGACGGCGCTGAGTGCACACTGGGGGAGTGGACGGCGCTGAGTGCACACTGGGGGAGTGGACGGCGCTGAGTGCACACTGGGTGAGTGGACGGTGCTGAGCGCACTGGGTGAGTGGACGGTGCTGAGCGCTCACTGGGTGAGTGGACGGCGCTGAGCGCACTGGGTGAGTGGACAGTGCTGAGCGCACACTGGGGGAGTGGACGGTCTGAGCGCACACTGGGGGAGTGGACGGCGCTGAGTGCACACTGGGTGAGTGGACGGTGCTGAGCGCACTGGGTGAGTGGACGGCGCTGAGCGCACACTGGGTGAGTAGATGGTGCTGAGCGCACACTGGGTGAGTGGACAGTGCTGAGCTCGTACTGGGTGAGTGGACGGCGCTGAGTGCACACTGGGTGAGTGGACGGCGCTGAGCGCGCACTGGGTGGGTGGATGGTGCTGAGCGCGCACTGGGTGAGTAGACAGTGCTGAGTGCACACTGGGTGAGTGGACAGTGCTGAGAGCGCACTGGGTGAGTGGATGGTGCTGAGTGCACACTGGGTGAGTGGACAGTGCTGAGAGCGCACTGGGTGAGTGGATGATGCTGAGTGCACACTGGGTGAGTGGACGGTGCTGACTGAATGAGTGGACGGTTCTGAGTGCACACTGAGTGGAATGGATCTTTGCAGCCAGGCAGTTACTGAAAAAGCTAAAGGACCCATATTGCAGTATAAGATCACAAAAACAAATAAACGAAATAATCCTATCTTTAAATTTTGGTATTGTGTTTCCAGTTATTTTTATATTTATTTAATTTTTTAAAATTTATTTTTGAGACTATAATTCAGTTACAACACTTCTACCTTCCCTCCTTCCATCCCTCCAAATCCTCCCATATACCCCTCCCTGCTTTCCTTCAAATTCATGGCCTCCTTTTTATGAATATATATATGGTTTTTTGAGATATGGTTTCTCTGTGTAAGAACCCTATCCTGGCTGTCCTGGAACTCACTCTGGTTTTGAACACAGAGATCTGCCTGCCTTTGCCTCCCCAGTGCTGGGATTAAAGCTGTGTGCTACCACTAACAGTCAAAGTTGTTTTTTTTTTTAAGTCCTTTAAAATATTTATTTAGTCAGATGTAGTGGCACATGCCTTTAATCCCAGCACTCGGGAGGCAGAGGTGGTGAATCTCTGTGAATTTGAGGCCAGCCTGATCTACAGAGTGAGATCTTGGCCAGCCAGGGTTGCATAGTGATGTATTGTTTCAGTTTTTTAAAATATAAATTATAGCCGGGCGGTGGTGGCGCATGCCTTTAATCCCAGCACTCGGGAGGCAGAGCCAGGCGGATCTCTGTGAGTTCGAGGCCAGCCTGGGCTACCAAGTGAGT